CACGATGACTGCGAATCCTTTTCGAAAATAACTTGGCACGATTGCAAATGTCGCACTTAAGGGATGCTTTGGGACATGATTGATCCGATGTTCAATTGAAACAGCTTCGGCTTTCGCACGGACAACTGCATCTGAAAGCATCGGAAGAGGTTCATCTGGAGCAACTTCCCTAACTTCGGCAGCTCTGGAAAAGCGTTCTCCTAAATTTTTCCGGGCTCTACAGCAGACTCAAATCAGGAACTACTGGCCCTCAAGAAGTTCAGGAGGCGTCTCAACACGGAAGTCTTCGGCCGCATGTTCAACAGCAGCCGGAACTCCAGGTATCACTTCAAAATTGGATTGAAAGAAAGGCAAATTTTGAAAAACTCTTGATGCATAGAGCTTGTTATCTTCACTACAGCTGACATGACACTCCGCAGGGTTACGCACGTAGTATGGCTTACAACCAGGAAGCCAAATGAAGCCAAGTCCATTTTGTTCTACATCAAGTCCAATCGACCGAACCATGGGGCATGAGTCCAAGATAAAGTGATTGGCTTTCCCAAATAAGCCATTGCGATCTTGAAACCAATGGAAAAGGATGAGCCCTTCTGGCCACCACCTGTCGAGAAACGAAGGCTTTCATGAGACTGATTCAAGAAAACACAACAAAGAAAGAACGGTCGTAACATTGGTCACTCAAAGCTTCAAAAGAAGTCAAATGTCTTCTAGCACCTGAATCCGCAGCCCACTCAATCTGCTCAGCCTGGGATGGCTGAAGCATTGTTGCAGCAAGGATGGCAACAGTCGCCAGCGTCTTGGCACCTGCAGCCGGCGCAGTCTTAGGTTTTGGTTTTGGATCTGCGCTACCCTCATTTTTCGGCTTCGGAGGTGGAGCTTTCGAATGACTGTAGGCACACTTGGCACCATGCACACAACCAGATGGCATCTGATGGAAGATACATGGCGTCTTGGCCTTTTCTTCCGCACTCAATGGTTTCCCTGTCCTTTTGATTTTCCTTTCGGAGGTGACTTAACATCGGCTTTCTTTGGCGCAGCTTTCGACGGAGGAGCTGCGGCTGCACTTGCATTGGTTGGAGCAGCTGGAGCAGCTTTGGCCGGTACGGCCGGGGTTTTTGCTTTTGGGACGTTTGCTGATCTCTTTGTGCTTTTGAGGGATTGTTCAATAGACCTTGCATTGGCATCCTCCCTTTCTTCAACCAAGAATTCCTGCAATATAGACCACAAGAAATCAAAGTCACGGAGTGGCAAGTCATCTGCTGAACGTTTGATCTCATCAATCACTCTTTCAAAGCGTCTGACAGTCCTCAACTTATGAAACAAGAACTCACCAAGCATTCGTTGATTCGCCCACTGATCATGAGGAATGCTGTTGAGAACCTTCATGACCTGAGCAGAAAAATCTTGTAAGTCCGAAGTTGCCATGCAATTCTAATTGAAAAATGGACTGAGAAGTAATCAGCGACCCACGGACGCGATCCAAGTCAAAGTGACGAGAGACATGTGAAGCACTGCACGACCGCGTGGAGCGGTCCCATCACGTGCACAACGGTCAATGTAACCCTGCACCTTGAATTGCAAGTCAGGAACCCCTTTCAACCCCTTAATGAGTTCAGAAGCCAGCCAACGATCCAGGCGTGGCACAAGTTCATGTTGACCTTGAACGCATGAGATACCCAAGACGTCAAATAATCTGAACCACTAATATCCAACCGACCCAGCAGCAAAATCAGGGTGGTCTTCCAATTCCTGAAATCAGCAGCGGTGTTTGGGATCGGGTCCAGCTTTGCATGTTGTAAAGTCCTGGAATCAACAATCTCCCTTTCAGTTGTTGGGGAACCATCTTGAATCAATTCTTCTTCATCATCATTTTCTCCCTCACCATCATCACCAGGATCACCCCCAAAAGGCTCGTTGGGAAATCTTTTGGTTGGAATTGGTAACCCACTTGAGGAGGGAGACGAGACACCCGCTCCATTTCGGCCATGTAGATGAACTGACTCAGAACAGCGTCAACACGGTTTGACATACCATCTAATCTGGCTGACAAAGAGCTTGAAGCAGCCAAACTCCCCTGCAGTTGCTCACGCATTTCAAGCGAAGAATCCAGGGACTGTTTCGCAACACCCAACTCGGTCATTAACCTTTGAATTTCACTATCCTTATGGCCAAGGATTGTTTCATACTTTGTGCGTTTGGATATTTGGGACTGCAATTGACTCTGAACCAACGCAACCTCATCTTGAAGGGCACCCAAGTCATTGCTCAAACCATGGATTGTCAGGTCCTTTGATTGGCATGCTTGGTAAAGGGATTCAACCATACTCTTCAATTTTTGGATCTGCTGGCAAGCTCTATCTTGGATTTCTTGGGCAACACCTTCTAGATGCAACGCACGAGTGCGGGATTCATCCAAAAGACGTTGAGCTTCAGCTACAACTACCCCAATTTCTTGAGGACTAACTCCAAGATGAACCGTTTGAATTCTCTCATCACGCAAATGCAACACTTGGGTAGTAGATGATTGAGCTACACCCGGGAACCCCTCTTGACTGGATTCATTGAAACCAAAGTTCTCCCTTGTGCATCTTGATGGCCAAAGGCTTACCCTGACTATCTTTGCGGGTCTTGCTACTCACTCTATGCCCAATTGAGGAGGCTGATGAACTTCTACTGCCAGCCCCAGCAACCATTGCAGGAACTTCCATGGAATCTGGAGACAAATTCAGAAGTGACGAACTTGGGTCAGTTGGGCCAGAAGACATCAACACCCAACACCAATTGCCCTTTTCACTCGACCCTCAGAGGCGCAATGCAGCCTAGCTGAGAAGTGGTACACTGATATCTGGATTGATCCAACAATCAAACTCAAATCTCTTAGAGGCAAGCTTGGAAAATGAGGTGATTAACTGACGGATGTTTGAGACAAATGGTCTCTTTGGCACTTGTCGGATGCTTTCACACTAAAACTGGCACAATCCAAATGAAAGTTCGGTACCTGACGCGGTGATACACCTTGAGATCCGCAAGCAAAAGTGCCGATATCAGGATTCAAAGGTTCCGAACCAAAGCAAATTGACGTGCCTAACGGATGAACTGAGAAAAAACAATGAAAGTCCAAATTTGGCTGGTGAAATGCTTCAAGCAAATCGGACGAAACTAGGCAAATGCAAATCGAGAGGAAACCTTCGAAGTAGATCACTTCCAAGCTTACAAGGAGTCCTGGCCAACTCCGAAGCTAGTGGAGGCGCAACTGCAGCCTAACCACAGATCAAGAAATTGATAGTTACTCTACCTGCCGCGAATGAAAATGATGGACGCTGATGAAACTAATCACTGGCTCAACCACTCTTCGACAAACTGCAAATGATCTCCGATGTTCCAAGCTGTACGACCTGACCAGTGCTCGCTGAGTTTTGATGTTCAAAGGAATGCCACCAACCCTTTCGATCTCAGAACATACTTGCAAATTGTCGTCAAGCAACACTGACCGTGCGATGTTCCTTTTACCCAAAAGAGCTTGTAAAACAGCTGCTTTGCCCCCGGCTACAGTCCTGGTTTGAGTTACAAAAACCAGGTCAACAGGCAAACGATTCACCCGAGTGGACCTGAGGAGGAACTCCAGATTGCTCTCGCTTCGCTCAATGTGGGACAAAATAATCACCTTGTCAAATTGTCCACATCTGTGAGCGGTCTGATGAAAAACGTCAAGAACCAACTGAAGTAAATCTGCAGTGTCCCAATTAGTCCGAAACGCATTGAATCTGGATGCACGATAAGTATCGGTGACCTGATGCCAATCAAATGCCACAATCTTTCCATCTGACACCACCGGAATCCTGGAAAGCTGCTCCTCCACCAAGTTGTTGTGATCGTCGAACTTCCAGCACTTCACGCCCTGAAGATACGACGTATATCAATACACCTGGGATATGCAGATCCCTTCGAAGATGAGCTCCCTTCAGAAGACTTCGACTCCGCTGAGCCTTTAGAAGAAGAACCTTTTTCCGGAGACTTCGGTCGTGCAGACGCTTGTGATGATGATTTCGCAGCTGGTCCAACAAAAACTGAACCCTTTGAAGATGACGCCGCAATAGACTTCGGAGTTGCTGATCCCTTCGAAGAAGATGCCGCTTCACCCTTTGAAGCTGCTCTCTAAAGAGGATTTGACCTTGAAATTGTGACCTGAGATGCCTTTGCAGGAGGGCTCGCTGAAACTGCTGGCCTGGAAGAGGATGACGAAGACTTTGCAACACCCTTAGGACTTGGGACCAAACGAGTGGCTTCCGAAGTTGACTGAGATAAAGGCCTTGATGGGTAAGTCAAAGGGCTCCCAAGTTGCAGGCGAGTACAGGAGACGCTGCTGCCCACCAGAATGAGCAACAGGAATGCAACAGGGATGTCGTCCCACTGCGCTCCCTGCTCCAGGTTGTAGTTGATCCACGCTAAGCGCTTGCGACGCGCAGATACTCCACCTCTGATACCGCGACGCGGAGGTGTGCGAGACCGGTCCCTCATGAACGCGGGGTTTTAAAGGGACTGCAAACCCTAATGAAAAATATTTCCCCCAAAAAGTCAACAATCAAAGCCAATACGGCTGATAACCACTTGAATCGCCTAACAACAGCCGAAATAACAAAAGGGGGTTAAACACCACAAACAAACCGCAAAAACACCCAGGGCAGCAGCTGTGGCCTGTTTTCATCTTGAGCCAAACAGGTAATAACAACCATGTTCAGAAGGGGTCTTTACAGTGATATGGGTATGATTTACACCATATTGTTCAAATGCATTCTTGTGCATGATGTGCATGCATGTACCTATATAACACACATACTAATGAGTCCCAACTAATTTCACCTATTACTATATGTTTATATATGTATATATATTATACATACATCGTAAGTATGTCAACATATAATTAGATCCAATTATATATATATATTATATACACAATATTGTCCCCCCACACCTCAGAGCTTGTACGCCAAAGTCGCTTGCAAGTCTCTGCTAAGGACGCGTCACCTCCATGGGGTTGTCACATCGCCACTGCAGGGATATCAAGACTAGTAACGTGATGCACCGCAATCGTTGGGGATGGTTTCATATAATGTTTTACCAACATCTAATATCTATAACTAGCCCATTGCCAACTGGCAACTATTACGTAAACTATCCTAAACCTGCATCCATTTATGGTTTGGGGATGGTTCATATTTGGTCCAACGGTTTTGAACATTAGATAATGTTGGACACATACATAATAACAATAAATTGTTATGTCATTTGCATTCATTTGCCATGTTGGATTCCCAAATGGCCGTTTTGTCTGGAATTCCCTGGGCCCAAGATGGCCTTCATACACACAGCAGCCACAGAATATAGCTTATAGGGGAGCATGTCCTTATGAGTATCAGCACATCGCAAGTCCATGTCTACTTAGAACATTTTAGAGTTATGTTTGTACCACTGGTCCTCAGATCTTCGCAGTAACGTATTGATTTCCGACTAGTGGTTTGTATCTGGACTATCACGCTCGTGACGACCCGGTATCTTTCAGCCGTTACATTCAGCATGCAAACCCCATACAAACCCTCGAACAAAAACTTCGTAGAAGCAGGGCTGATTACCTCCATTGAATAGTTCAAACACGTTCTGCTGGCCTTTAGCCCCTTTCCAACATTCGCTGCTTTGCCCTGTCCTCAAGCACGCTCTTTGAATTCTTGGGGCGTGGGACTATTGAAAATGGGGGCAACTTTGAGGTCCAATCTGCTCCTGGAGGAACCACTTCTTCCATTCCTGGCTGAATTAATTTCTTCCAGTGATCCGCACCCTGACACATTGTTCCGACATACCATCTGGAAGTATATATTGTATATCTATATTATATATATATGATTATATATATATATATGTGTGTGTGTATTCAGACATTCTATCTGACATTCTTTCTGGCATATACTCTGAAAATCTTTCTGGCATTCTATGTGGCATCTATTCTGACATACTTTCTGGCATATATGCTGATTCTGGCATTCTTCCTGGCATCAATTCTGACATTCTTGCTGGCATTCTTTCTAATGTTCTTTCTAGCATGCTATCTGTCATCTATGCTGACATTCATTCTGACATTCTTTCTGGTATTATGTCTGGCATCTATTCCGACATTCTCTCTGGCATGGGCACTGCCAGACCTCAACCGCAAGCGCCAAATCTCAGTGGGGTCCGGCAGTGCCCACTAAGATCTGGAGGGAGGAAGGAAGGAAGGAAGGAAGGAAGGAAGGAGGGAAGTAACTCTGGTAAAATCTAGGCACCCTCACCTGGCAGGTGGGGAAAAAATATCTGAACATCTCGCATCCATCAACCGCCAAGGCAAACATAAACGTTCGTTCGCTTCACCCAAGCTTCTGTGGTGTGTTGTCACGAAGCTGCCATTGCGACGACGGACTTTCCAGCTTCTCCTTGGTGCGAGGTATCAGCTTCACTGAAGGTAGCCACCTATACCATTTAATCAATTGATCAAAACTCCACCGTTGAACAAAATCAAATTCATGTAAGAATTTCGTACATCATTGTAAGATATATATATATAAGCCTTGAAACCTTTGTCGGCGTTGATATTGACCAAACCGCTCTGGAACAAGTCAAATTTTCCTAATGGGAGCGGTTCAAATGCCGAGACTGGCCAACCTCCCCGGAAAATCAGTCACCGAGACTGGTGAATGTATGCAGCCCATTTTGTTCCAAATCCCTATGCCATACCACCTGGAGCAGCACCAAGGCACGCTTGCGACGGCTACCAGGTCGATGTCGTAGAGATTCTCGAACTTGGGGCACCTCACGTCTCACAGGAGCACGGGCGGGAATGTGTTCGCCAAACATCAAGGAGATATCTTGGGATACCGTGGGATATCACGAACTAACTGACTACATTATATATTATATACAGTATATATATATATATATACACATAATAAGAGGGTTTGCCCGTTTGTTCCCATAATTCTGGGAAACCCCATCAACACCCTAAAATGTCCTAAAATCACATGATTGAGAAAAAGCACTTGGATACTAAAATTGCAATTTTAAGGGTGCCGAAAATTTCCGGACACGCCCGCATCTGAACCTACATTTCAATTGTGGTTTGGTTGGCTATGCCATTGGTTCTGGGATTTCTTCCTCTTCAGAACTGCATGGGGGTTTCCCTGAAAGCTGCTGACCTCCTCCCATCCCATCATCCTGCAAGATATGTTGGCAATATCATGGGATATTGGGTACCTCTGTGCTCCATCAGCTGGCAGCAGCCTTTTCCGATTCTCAGCACTTTCCATTGACGTGGTGGATGATTGCATGCCAGGTTCTGAAGTTTCGAAGAATCTGAAAAACTAAGTCTAGAAAAATTAGCCATTCTTAATCATTCTTAGACAGTATCAACCATTATGTATATGTACAACAAACATACCCCGTGAATGAGCAACCTTTGTCTAAGTAAGCCATTCTGACTTCAATTCTTTTGCCACCCATGATCCAGCAACCTGGAGGGTCAGTTGAAGACAGCACAGTTGGAAAGGGAGTGTGCATACCAGCTCGATCTTCTCGTTCTCAAGTCTGGGTGCTGCATTCCCACTACCCACAATTTTCCCAGAATCTTCCATACCAATCCTCGTAAAAAAACTGGAACAGCCTCACTGGATGTACTGGAAATTCTGCCTCCCCAAGTCGTGACAGTTTCGCCATTGCCATCTGAGCGACTGAAGGTACCACAGAAATCGACTTGCAGTATCTGCTTTAGCTGCATCTGGTGTACCTGTACATGAGCCACAATTTTCGGTCGGATTGATACAAATGAGGTCCTGAGAACCTCGGGAATGACCTTGTACAAGAGCATCTCTCTGTACACATAAGATACATCAAAGATCTAGACACATGTAAACATACAACATTTACCCATGCATGCTTCTATTTACCATCTCAAATATGCGTGTATGATAATGTAATTATAATGTATATATGAATATATGTTATGTTTGATTGCCTGATGTGTGCACATGTACATATACGGCAATGCCTGGAGTTTGCCCAGGGTCTCAACGATTCATAACAATTCCGTAATCATAAATTCCTCCCCAATGCTAAAAACCGTGCGCAGACTCACAAACCCTGAAATCCAAAATCCTAACTTCCCAAAAAGTAAAAACACAAAAACCTAAAACCTTAAACCTCAAACCCTAAATCACTCCATAAAGCCAATGCTTTTGCAACTTCTCCGAATCATGTTGAGCATGCACAAGATCCTCATTGCCAGGAAATTGTGCGTATATATGCACGCACACAGTCTATCTAATTATATATATATATATAATGTAATATATATATGTAATATATATATATATACTTATATACGGGCACATAGCAAAACACGTGCTATATCATACTATGTATATAGTAAATAAATTCATAGGCAAAATGCACATATATGTTCAATGATTATGCGTAATTTTATGTGTTGCAGTAGCAGGCTTCGACTGGAAAATGCAAATATATTATATAAAATAAAATAACAGAAAAAAAGTAACCCAGGCAGAAAAAAATGCAAAAAACAAGTGCAATGGAAAAGTAATGATTTGGAAAACGCAAAAAAAGTAACTTTGGCAGAACTGAAAAAGCAACACCAAAAGTAAAACAAAAAACACATACATCAAAAACATAAATGCTTTCAAACACAGACCGCACGGCCCCTTAGACAGAAGTGAACAAGTAAAAGATAAACACACACACACATATATATATATTATTTTTATTTATTTTTATATATTGAAATGCTAGTGCTTATTGGGAAGCTTGCACTTGCAGCTTGTTTATGTGTTGTTTTCTTGTCAATTTCTTTTGTTGTGTTCCTTCTCCCCCGGTTCCTCGTCCCTTTCCTTTCCCTTCATCCTTTCCTCCTCTTTCCTACCCCTTCCTCTCCCTTTCCTTTCCTTATCTTTCCTTGTCCTTTCCGTTCCCTTTCCTTTCCCTTTCCCCTTTCTTTCCCTTTGCTCTTTCTTTCCCTTTGCTCTTTCTTTCCCTTTCCTTTCCCTTTGCTCTTTCTTTCCCTTTGCTCTTTCTTTCCCTTTCCTTTCCCTCTCCTTTCCCTTTCCGTTCGGCTACTTTCCCGACCCTTTTCCTTTTTTCCATCCCCCTTTCTATCCCCTTTCCCTTTTCCTTTTTCCTGTCCTGTCCGCTCCCTTTTTTCACTTTGTTTTGTTTTCCTGAAAATCGGAAAAATAAAAAAACGGACAAAAGTGAAACAATAAAATGTGCACAAAATGTAAAAAAGAGAAAACAAAGGAAAAATGTGAAAAACAGTGAAAACAAAGTGGGACAAAAGTAAAAAACAAAATTGGGGAAAAAAGTGGGAAAAAAAAAGTGAAAGAAAAGGCGGAAAAAAAGGTGACGGGAAGGGTCGCAGGGGAAAGGGAAGGGAAAAGGATGAGAAAGGAGGAGAAAAGGAGGAGAAAAGGAGGAGAAAAGGAGGAGAAAAGGAGGAGAAAAGGAGGAGAAAAGGAGGAGACAGGGACTGGGAAAGGGATGGGAAAGGGAAAGGAAGGGAAAGGAAGCGGAAAGGGAGCAGAAAGGGAGAAGAAAGGAATGCAAAGGGAAGGGTCTGAGAAATGTGGGAAAGGGGTGGAAGGAGAAGGGATGACCGCAATTTTTTTTGTTTATCCCTCGGGGACAATGTTCAACCTTTCTTGCCAGATTGCTTGGCTGCCCCGGCACCTCTTCCTGGTGCAGTGGGGTTGTTCACATTCATGGGGGTTGCAGCTTGCAAATGGCACGGGTTGAGCCATCCAGGAGTATATAGGCAATATTTATATAATATATTTACTGCATTGAGGTTTTAAAGCAGGGATCCCGTAATTTACTTGCTTTTTTCCTATCTTGATTTGCTTTCCCAGTTTCTTTTCATCTGTTTTGGCATGCGTTTGTGTCCATTGAGTTCTCCCTTTGTTTAGCTTTTGATTGCATTCATTTTTGTTCACTTTTGCTTTCACTTTTTGTTTACTTTACTGTCATGCTTTTCTTACTTTTTTAAATTGTGTGTTTTCTTTTTTTTGCCTGTGGTTGCTTTTTTCGTCACTTTTTTACATGTTCTTTCCCTTGCGTTTCACTTTTTACGTAACTAATGGCAACCGCAGGCCCAACAGCCAATGCCTAAAATCGTTGATGTTCCATTGAGGGGCTACTAGCAGTAAGATTAGCATGATTTTGTGTGACACTTCCGACGTGTAGAGTCTGATGATCAACTCCACTCCAGTGAGCGTCAAAACGGGTTGGAAGAAGGTGATCCGTAACAGCAAACTCATTCGCAATGAATAATGTTCCAATATGTCCCAGAAGAAATGAAGAGCATCCCTGACAATTTCGCCCTTGAACAATTGATAACACTTCAATACCCACATCCACATTACATCGCATGCCTCATCTGCTACCAAGAGGCGGCACAAGCAGCCTGCAAATGTATGTGGCACATCAAAGATTTGAATCTTCAGTAAAGCCTTGGCTTTGGTGGCTGGGAGTCCTCAAAATAACCTGCTACCGATTTTTGGCCCAGTAAATCATCCCAAGCTGGCTGATCTTGCCCCTCAAAAGGGCCTACTTAAAAAAAATTAAGCTCTTAGCGCTATGTCAGATCAGAACAAGTGAGCATCGGCAACTGTCCAACTGAGTTGCCCTTTAAGTGGATGATTCATGATGCTTCAATCCAAGAATCGATTCAAACTTGGGGGGTGTCATGCAACGCCTATAGGGCCTAGGTGCCCGGTAGGCACCGGCCGACGCAGGAACCGATGGCAGTCGCTCAATGGTCCAGTTGATGTCACCATTTAGGGTGCTGTCACAAATTGGTGGATAGCTGCGGCAAAAGCTCTGCAGCGCAGGTAAGGCCTCCGCTGGGGGATGCGTGAAGGTGTCACCATGTGTCACCCAGAAAAGCCATCGGACACGCACTGCGCAGCAGGCACTTTCTGAATGGAACCTTTGAAACTCCAAATGTCTATTTCGGGCCCATGCGCCTAAACTTCCGCAGAATTTGGCCTTGATCTGGGATTTTCCCTTGTTACCATGTGATGTTGGCCCCAAGCAGTGACCAGCGCGTGCCTCGTCGGGCATGTCTGGCAGATCCGGGTGCGATAAACAGTTTCCCCACCTGTGGCTGGACGGCGCTGTACCCCGGCAGGAAAACTATCGCCAAGAGCAGTCAAGAGCTTTCATATGTATGAGCGCTATCTATCTATCTATCTATCTAAGATTATATAAGTCCATAATCAATATCATTGCGTAACATGTCAATCCACTATGTAAGGGGATACTCTGCCAGCCAACTGCATTGGCCCCCAGGTTTTCTCTTCCTCTTCTGGCCCTACCTTTTTTTTTGGGACCTCAACGACCCCTTCTTGTCAGTACACACCTGGGGAGGAGGATCATTCCCTCCAAGTGACTCACCAACAAAAAGGCTCAAACAACCACTAGCAGTGTCTTGTTGAGCCAGTTTCTTCCGAGGATGCCAGCCACCCATCACCTCAGCATTGGTAATGTCCAATGCGCAATGCCCCCTTTATAAATGCTGCAACCATTAACTTCCCACTCACTGGAATAATCGGTTTGGTACAGTTTGATGGATGACATATGGGATGACATGCGCTAACCTCTATGCTTGAACATATCCTTTGGACGTGCAAAATCTGACAATCTAACGATTGGAGCTGCTCCTTCAAAGGATGACACTGGGGCACATGATGCGGAATGCCATCTAGCACAAAGGCCACACGCGCACGGAATAAACGCTTCCTCAGCGGCGGCATGCGGCAGCATGATTTTGCAAGGGGGAACGTCTTCCACAACTGCTATGGCTTCGACATTCTCCAACTAATGGACAACGGCACAAGTCTCTGAGACAAATGAAGGTTTCCTAAAATGGGGGTACCCCCATATCATTCATTTTAATGGGGATTTTCCCTTAGAAACCATCCAGCTATTGGGGATTCCCCATTTATGGAACCCCCCAGCCATGTCTAGCTACCAAGCGTCGAACCCGAGGACGAAGCATCAAACTTCCACTGCAGCGTTGCGCGGTTCTGTGGCTGACGATATCCTCCTTGGACGTTCGGTGCAGTCTGTTGCTGGCAAAGGCAACCTACAAAGAAGACCAACCTGGTCTCTTTCCAAGAAAAGCTGTTTTGGACAATCACAGAAAAAATCCTGGATATGGATGGTCAATGATGGTCAACTCTATGATGCAACTGGACTCTTCATGCCGCCATCACAGCCATCTACTTCCGTCGTTGTCGACAACACTTTCTGCTGGTGCTTCCTCATGCAACCATACCGTTGGCCAATTTAAGCATATTCTAGCACCATTCTCAAATGGATAGGTCCTGCAGCACATGTTGCTGTGTTGGATGCAGGGATGCCCAACATCCACGCTCGTGCCAAGGAACTTTTGGAGGTTTGGACATATTCTTGAAGAAGTGAGACGGCATTTTTGCCTTACAACATCACAGCAAAGCATTTGCCAAACATCTGCAGCCTGCAAGGACTGAATCAAACCAACTTTGGTTTTCAAAGATCCATGATTTGAATTGATTTGAAGGTTTCCAAAGTGGTTGCAGGATGTTGAACGTTGTTACATTACTAGTAACACAGGACGATGATGGATAGCCTGCAAAGATTCTACTGGGAGGATCCTGGGAGCTATGATATCTATGACAAGTCTGCAGTTATGGCTGAACGATTCATACATATTATATAATAATTATTGTTTATTATTCGATCCCAATGGGCATATCCTAATTCATATCCAAATTATAAATATATAATGGTACAACACAATTAAATTATATAATTAGGATATGCCCATTGGGATCGAATAGATTGCATTTGGGATCAACTGCGCTTCCTTGCTTCTTTCCATCTCCTTGTCGTTGCTTTCGTCACGCAGCATTTCCACCGGTCACTTGGATTTGATGCCTAGCCCGGATCAATAAACCCTGACTATTAGGAGGGTTACCTTCAAAATAGTGAAACCTTATTACCAAAAAAATGTCAGAACCACCACCCGAAAAAAAAAACACACGCACCCGTTCCAAAGATGACTTTGATTCGGTTTCCAAGAGACTTCCCTCACCAGAGCTGTTCGATGCCACTGTGGTGGCAGTCGCAGCTTCTGAGCCTTGTGACACCTGCGACTGAACAGAGAAATCCCCGTAGGGGGATGGGTCAATTTTTACCTGGATGGTTTTGCAAACTCATCTTCTGGGCAGGTCGGCCATTCCACTATTGAATCCGTGATACGGACAAGTCGTAGAAACGGAGCATCATTCCTTTGGCTTGGTCGGCCATCTTTTCTGCGGCTATAAATAATCCAGATTGCAATGGTTGAACACCAATGTTTTCACTTTTTGTGGTCAATACTTCTCCCAGGGTGTGCATCAGTCTCCGGAAAATCAGTCTGAATCGGGAAGATCTTAGGAGGAAAAAACAAACATTACATCGATTCACACACATGTGCACAAGTGCAAATACCCACCGCTAATCAAATAGCTAACTCGGAAATCCCCGGTCACAAAGCTGGGCATCTGTACATGGAAAAATCAGTCCCAAATGGTGGCGCCGGATTTCCCAGCTCGCCATGGGGGTGACCAATAAAAAACAGGTTTGTCAATAGCGTAGCCCCAAAATCCAATGTAGGGCTAATAGTAATGATTAATTTAGTTACAAATTTAAGGTTATATGATTACCAGTTTGTCAACATTTAATTTGCCTAATAAACTCACCGTTTGGGCAGTGTAGCCCTTAAAAAAAAAAACAAATATCATCTGGTGGGTTTTTTACCCCATTGATATCCACATATATCCACATATTGTTTCCCGTCGTCTCTTAAGTTTTTTTTTTCGGAATTGGCTATATGGTTGTGGCGAATATGGCTCGTTCCGCGGTGAGGCTGTGATCCATACCGTAATACCTATGGATCGGTCTGGATTACCTGGGTATCGATATATCATGATATATCGCCTGTCGGTTTTGACTCTTTGACCCTTCAATTTTGAGCCGCAGCCATATCAGCCATATCCACCTCCCATGCATTTAACACACACGGTGGCGCATCTTGGCTATATAACTGTGTAGGCTTTCTGGGGGATATAAAACGTAGTTTGAACATATCGCTGCAACCCTGACGCTGCGCCGCATCTGACTTCAGGTGGCTATGAAGATAAAATTGATGTCATCACCCCATTCAACATATTGTTCATAGAGGGTTGCGAATTTTGGTTGCGAATTTTGATCCCTTATGAAGATAAAGTTGATGTTATTACCCCAATCAACATATTGTTCATAGGGGGTGGCGAATGTTAATCCCTTATGAAGATAAAGTTGATGTTATTACCCCAATCAACATATTGTTCATAGGGGGTGGCGAATGTTAATCCCTTATGAAGATAAAGTTGATGTTATTACACCAACCAACATATTGTTCATAGGGGGTGGCGAATGTTAATCCTTTATGAAGATAAAGTTGATGTTACTACCCCAATCAACATATTGTTCATAGAGGTAGCAATTTTTGATCCCTCTTGGAGATATAGTTGATGTTATTACCCCAATCAACATATTGTTCAGAGGGGGGCGTGGCGAATTTTGACCCCTCATGAAAATAAAGTTGATGTTATTACCCCAGTCAACACATTGTTCATAGAGGGTGGCAAATTTCAATGTTATGATGGTCATGTTGTGATGATAAGATGATGATGATGATGATGATGGTGGTGATGATGATGATGATGATCATGATCATGATCATGATCATGACGATTGTCAGTGTGGAGCAACGTCCGGGTTGGGGCGAACATGTTTAAACATGTTGAGACTATATTGTATTCAAGTATTCACGGGTTTATAAACCATACTCCATTTTACAACGGGCCGATGACTTTGACCCATCGACCTCTTCCTCCTGGCTCGACTTGGTCGAGTCTCGTGTTGGGATTTGCACCATTGGTACCAGGATGGGCACCTGGACTTTTTTTGTCAATTCATGGCACCTGAGGATCCTGAAAAATGATGAATCAGGATTTGGCAAGGATTAATATTTGTGTGGTATGGTGTGGCTTGTCAATGTTTATCATGCTCTATCTGATCTCAAAAAGAAATTGGCTTCATCTTATTATGATAAATGCCGATGCCCCTTTCAAAACGGCCAAACATGCTTAAAGTAATCTTAAAGTATCATCTTTCTCTGAGCACTCGATGCAGTTCCCCTTCCATGCGCAGCCTGGTAAACCATGGCGTTTGGGCAATTCATCTTGTCACAGCCGATGGTGCGCTGGAAAGCGGCTAGATATAGCACTGAGCCAACGGCGAACCAGAAATCAAGCATCATGAGAAGGGCACAGATCAACATTTCAGGCCCTTCAATTTTGATTCGGGAAACGCCCTGAATTTGTGGAAGTCGGCAACAACTCAGAATTATCTGTCCATCTGTCCAACTATATATTATGACATTTAGACACAAGTGAAGCCTGAAGAAAAGTAGTGTTCAGCTGCAAAAGCATTGAACCAAGAAATTTGAAACAACCAATATGATTGGGTAAAGCTACCCCCCTCCCAAAAGAACAAAAACATCCACAATGACAAGGATTCTGATAGAATGCCAGCGCAATGCCGTCACCCAGCACGCTCACGGAAGTGCCAGCCTGAGTGCCGTCACGGAACGTGACATTGCTCAGATTCCGATGTAGCCGTTCCAAAATCTCGACCTCAGGAAATCTGGAAAGCGAGGCACAAGAAGCTGCCAAGAAGGTCTTGATGGGTGTCACCAGGGCTTAGAGTCTCAAGATTTCTCAAGTGGTTTTCTGATTCATCTTCAAAAAAAACAAACGAAACGTAACGAAACCTTGGTTGGCCAAGCGCTCCAGAATTTCTGTCCTTTTTCCAGCGGTCCAATCAAAGAGGAACGATGGATCTCCGTTGCAGCTGGCAAAGGATGCCACCAAGTCCTGAGGTTCTGCTCCGCCGGTGGCTCCAGAGAGGGGCATAGAATTCAGGTGGTACCCTCTGGTAAACTAACATAACTATGGAAAATCACAATGTTTAATGGGAAAATCCACTATAAATGGTCATTTGCAATAGCTATGTTAAATTACCAGGTGGTAAAACATCAGGGTAATAGCCTGCCATCCCCGCCGCTCTCCAATTGCGACAACCAAGGCT